ATTTATATACATACTGATGTAAAAGGGATTGACGTGTATTGAATACGTCGATTATAATTTATCCTTTATATCATTTATTCTTTTCATTATGGTATCACAGAGCTAAATTTCGTTGCGTATCTCAGCCATGGTGTGCAACAACAACAATCATGGTGGTAATCAATTCACAAATCCAAGTCAAGACCCAACTAATCCATACTATGTACACCCTGGTGATGGTCCTTTTGCCTTTACAGTCACACCAGTTCTTACTCAATCTAATTACCATACTTGGGCTCGCTCAATGAGGAGAGCTCTTGAAACTAAGAACAAATTTGAATTTATTGATGGAACAATTCCAGTACCCACTCCTATTGAGACAAACTATAAAGCTTGGAGTAGATGTAACATGCTGATTCATTCATGACTCATGAATTCGGTGTCGGATTCCATTGCCCAAAGCATTATTTTTCTTGAAAACTCAATCGATGTATGGCAAGAATTGAAGGAGCGATTCTCACAAGGAGATCTGATTCGGATCTCAGATATACAACAAGAAATTTATGGATTAAGGCAAGGATCTCTCAGCGTTACTAACTTTTTCACAGAACTGAAGGTACTTTGGGAAGAATTGGAGAGTTACATGCCAACACCAGTGTGTGGCTGCCCAGTAAAATGCACTTGTACTTCAGGCATTCGAATTGCAAGGTATTATCATGATCTGAATCGCACCATTAGGTTTCTGACTAGTTTGAATGATGATTTTTCTGTGGTTAAATCACAAATTATGTTAATGGACCCTCTGCTAAACTTAAACCGAGTTTTTTCTATGGTACCAGAAAAGGTGGTTCAATATACAATTATCAGTTTAAGACATTTAGATACACTACTAGATTCTAATCTTTTAGCAACATTTTCTTGTATACATTTGTTAAAATATTACTATATATTAAATAAATATGTTATTTTGTAACACTTTTTTGAAAAATGTCATTATAGATAGAGTAACATTTTTTATTTCAATAAGGTATGACCGAACGGCCTTACCCATACAATTATTATTATTATAAAAATAACTTGGAGGATCTTATCAAGAATTACATCCAGCCAATCGAAGTAGCTTGATTCAATAAGGCTGTTGCACACTTTAGCACCCTTCGAAGATTTCACGATGTAACCGTATGATCATCACACATATGCAACTATTATTAATCCATATATTCAACAATATATAAGCCAGCTCTAGTACAAGTAAATGGCAAATGTAAGATTTACATTGCAATAGTTAATACAAATGTAACACAGAAAAGGCCTATAGCAAAATGTAACACAGAAAAGGTGGTTCAATATACAATTATCAGTTTAAGACATTTAGATACACTACTAGATTCTAATCTTTTAGCAACATTTTCTTGTATACATTTGTTAAAATATTACTATATATTAAATAAATATGTTATTTTGTAACACTTTTTTGAAAAATGTCATTATAGATAGAGTAACATTTTTTATTTCAATATTATTATTTCTAGTTGTTTTCAAAATCAAAGTCCCATATTGATTAAAAAAAATTACATAAGTTATTTTGCAACATTTTTTTGAAAAATGTTACTATAATTGCTTCTAAAATCAAAGTCCCACATCGAGTCAAAAAATATATATTTCTCTTATATCTAATTATAACCCATAATTAAAGTGTCACAATGTTGACAAACATAAAATTTTCTTTAAAGCAAAAGTCAACATCCTTTAAAAATATAATAGATCAAACGAAACGTAAAGATAATACATATAATCTGTAAGATAAAAGAAATCATACAAAGCATACAATCCATCTAACTTACATTAAATGAATAAGATTAATAATTGCATTTGCTTTAATGTATTAGTCCACAACAGATCAAACAAAAAGGAACTTTGAAAGTCTCAAAGAGAATTAATGAGGAAAAAGACAATCTCCGTGAGAAGCCAAAAGCATAATCCCGATGTCCCCAAAAAAAGACTAAAAAGGACTATTTTGCACCAACCCCAACTACTCTACGTTGACACTCTCTGCTGCACTCAAAAGTAGAAGGAAATGATGATAAGTAGTTGTCTAGATCAAATAAGATGTACACACATCCTGATAAGCATTTAATGCTCAAATTAAATGCATCAACAATACTCTCTACAATCAGCTAGGAAAACAGTCAAAGCAACTGGTAAAGAAATTTGAACATTTAAATTTGAATATTGTTGCAACGTCATCTTTTCCAAAGCTACTATATATAAAGATCAAGCCTTTGAACTATAAGAGGATATAATTTTTTTGAGCAATAAAAGAACACATACTATATATACATTCACAAAGAAAAAGTGTTATCGAATAATGTATCAATATTTCTTGAGCAGTTAATTATGAAAAAGTCATTGAAATATCAAGTTGAAGCATTGCGAAGAAGATCACGTTTGTAAATTTTGTATCTAGATCTTTGTAGTCTTTTGTGTTGTATTTTTTTTATAGTATCATGTCTAGAAGAGACGAAGTTATACTTGTAACTCTTATCACACTTATTTATAAGGGTTGAGCTTGGAGAGACTTGTTCAAAAGAATACTTAGTTGTTGAGCTTGAAAAGACTTGTGCTAAAGAATACTTAGGTTTATGCTTGGAGAAGCTTGTTGAAAGAATACTTGGGTTTTAGGCAGAAGTGACTTGTAAAGAATACTTGTATCTTGCATAAGATAATGAAACTCAATATAATTGGATTGAGAACTGGACGTAGTCTCTAGGTTGGAGACGAACCAGTATAAAAATACTCGTGCCATTTCATCTGCTTTATTACTTCGCTTGATTACTCTCTAGTACTTCGTCTGTTTGTATTCTTCACTCCCTCACTGCAAAAAATGCGAGTTTTTGATATACATTATTCAACCTCTTTCAAGTGTGTATCCTTCTCTCCAACAATATGTTACTCTATAAGATCAAAAAGAAGCTTAGAGTATCATTTGGAATCCCTTGAAGTGTTATAAGTTTTTATGATAACAAATATTTTTCTAAACAAATTAGGATTACATAAAATGCTTTCTATAAACAAAAAACAAGAAGCCAAAAGCTTTTCAAAAGAAAGATTTTAAGATGAAGCAGTGACATATTTCATCTATAAGATGAAGCACACTAGACGAAGCATATGATCTGAAATCAATGTGATATTTATTTCTCATTAAATTGTCAAACTATTCTTTGAAGAAGCATTAATACTTTATTTCTTAGTAGATCGAATGGGAAAGCTTCTTCGTAGATAACAAAAGCCTTCAAAAAGGAAACATCAAATCATTCTGTCAGGATAGAAAGAGAAAATCTTGAATATCTCGGACAAGACACTGAAAAGGACTACTCTACACCAACCTCAAATTGCTCTACGTTGACACCATTCTACCACACACTCAAAACAGAAGAAAAAGATGATAAGTAGTTGCCTAGATTAGATAGGGGATACATGCATCTCTGATAAGCATTTAATGCTCGCATTAAATGCATCTACAGTACCCTCTAAAGAACAACTAGGAAGATAGGCAAAGTAACTCAAGGAAATTTGAACGTTTAAATTTTGAACGTTGCTACAACAATCATCTTCTTTGAAGCTACTATTTAAGGGTCAACCCCTCAAACAACAAAAAAATATGAATGCATAATGTGAATAAGGATGAGCATAATATGAAGTAAAAAGAGTGTGCAAAACAAAAAGAAAGCGTTGAAAATAAGAAGCATCATAAAAGAGCAAAACTCACACAATGAGAAATACAAAGCTAAAACTTTACGAAGAAGATCCTCATAGCAAATTTTGTATAGAGTTCTTCATAACTACTTGTGCCAAATTTGTATAGCACCACGTATAGAAGAAACGAAGCTATTTCTATAACTCTTATCAAATTTATTTATAAGGGTTGAGCCTGGAGAGGTTTGTGTTGTTGAGCCTGGAAATGCTTGTTTAAAGAATACTTGAGTTTGAGCCTAGAGAGGCTTGGTGAAAGAATACTTGTGTTTAAGCTTGGAGAAGCTTAGTGAAAGAATACTTAGGTTTGAGCATGGAGAGGCTTGGTAAAAAAATATTGGTTTGAGCCAGAAGCGACTCGTTAAAGAATACTTGTGTCTTGTTGAAGATAGTGGAACTCAATCTGGTTGGATTGAGAACTGGACATAATCTCTCGGTTGGAGATGAACCAGTATAAAAGCACTTGTGTCATTTCATCTATTTCTACTACTTCATTTGATTATTTTTCAGCACTTCATCTGTTTGCATTTCTCACTGTCTTATTGCAAAAACGCGAGTTTTTGATATACATTATTCAACATCCCCTTCTAGTGTGTATTTTTCTCTCCAACAACTTCATTATATAAATTCAAATTAACAAATGAAATATTTGTCAATTTGAATTAATGAAGTGAAGTATCAAATAGTTTTTAATTTTTTAAAAAATTTGTAGAATTGATCAATGCATTAAAAATTTTTTATTTAATGGTTATATTGTTGAAATTCGATGTAGACCATAAGTTATTAAGTGAAGTAAGTCTACCAAGACTTACTATTAGAGTAAATGGATCTCTCTATAAATACTAGAGTAAATCTTGGTAGACTTAGATTTACTCTTGGAGTAAGTGGATCTATCCTCTATAAGAGAGACCCACTCATTCCAAGATTTATTTCACTCGATAACTCATGTTTTACACCAAATTTTAATGATCCAATTGTAACACCCCAGTTTTTATTTCATTTTTATTTTATTTTATTGAGGGTATTTTGGTAATTTTTATAAATGTATAAGGGTGATTTAGTAGCTTGGAACGGGCTGTTCCACAATTGGAACGGGCCGTTCCAAACTACCAAAATGTATGTGAGTTAGTAGCCCATAATGGGTCGTTCTCAAGTTGGAACGGGTCATTCCGGACTATTAAAAACTGCCTATGATCCTAAATGGGAACGGGCTTGGAACGGGCCATTTCCAAAATATGATCTGCCTGAAGAGGAATATTCTCCTCTGGGCCCATGACATACTTCAACATGAAAGACAAATTGGTTTCATAAGCAATGATGAGTCAAAGATCTTAATTAATTCTGTTGATTACAAAAAGTCACAAGGAAGAGGAAGAGGAAGCTATACTGCAGGAACAAACAACAAAAATGGAAATAAAATGTGCACATATTGTCGTAAATCAGGACACACCATAGAGACATGCTACAAAAAGCATGGTTATCCTCCAAATTGGCAGAGAAATGGCTCAAGCAATGCTGCTAGTGAAGCTTTTGAGTACAAGGAGAATGCTAGTATGAATGAAGAGATCAAGGCAGAGCCACCTATGTTCACACAAGAGCAATATGAGAAGTAGTTAAGTCTTATCTAGCAAACAAATATTTCCACAAACCAGGTCAGCTTGGCCTCCCCTCATGGTAAATCACCTATTGAGAATCCAAACAAAGGTATACAACACATTTCCTTCTCTGTAAATAATTGCAAAGTTGGCTCTTGGATTGTTGATTTGGGAGCAAGTCATCACATATGCTCTTCTTTGCAGCACTTTGATAATTATCATTCCATTGAACCTGTTAGTGTCAGGCTTCCCAATAGTCATTTTTCACTTGCAAAATATGTTGGAACTGTAACATTTTCTCCTGGTTTTTGTGTTAGTGAAGTCCTTCATGTTCCTGATTTTTCTCTCAACTTGCTATCAGTCACAAAGTTATGTGCTTCCATGAACTGTATAGTTACTTTCACTACTTTTGAATGCTTGATTCAGGAGCAGAAAACCAAGAGAATGATTGGTTTGGCTGAAAGACATGAAGGGCTGTATCACCTAGTAGTTGGAGCAAAGAATGTTTTTGCCTCAAACTCCTCAGTTTCAGAATTGCAGCATTTACCTCAAGAAGCCTTATGGAATTTTCGTTTAGGAAATTTGTCACATTCTAGATTACAAATCATTCATGAACAATTTCCATTTATTACTGCGAATGAAAACTCTGCTTGTGATGTGTGTCATTTTGCCAAACATAGAAAGTTGTCTTTTCGGTTAAGTCCAAGTAGAGCTTCTAAGCCTTATGAATTAATACACTTTGATATATGGGGACCTATTTTTGTTTCCTCTGTACATGGTCACAAGTATTTCTTGACAGCCCTTGATGATTTCAGTCGGTTCACATGGATAATATTGACAAAATCAAAAGCTGAGACTAGAGAACCTGTACAACACCTTATTCTGAAAATTGAAAAATAGTATGATGCAAAAGTGAAGATAATCAGAACTGATAATGGACCTGAGTTTCTCATAAATCAATTTTATGCCTCAAAAGGCATTATTCATCAAACTTGTTGTGTAGAATCATCCCAGCAAAATGGAAGAGTGGAAAGAAAACACCAGCATGTGTTAAATGTAGGGAGGGCCCTTACTAAAAGAGCATATCACTAACACGGTAAAAGTTGAAGATAGTGAATACTAGGACAACAACCCCGACTATAGTAGAACTGCTTCTCCAAGGATCACGGAAGTAAACCCACCTTAATGTACCCATTGCCCACTTCCACTTGTTGTTGTAGTGTCCATTAACATCTTCAATAATTTCGTGGTAGCATGTTGAATCTGTCACTACATGTTTGCAAAGACCATTAACCAGATTCGTTAACTCTTGATCACTCCCTAGTTCATGTACAATAGCTTCTTTCTCAACCAGCAACTCTGCATCATCTTTGGTGTGAATAAGAGAGTCAATTAGAAAAACATAGTTGCAAATGAAAGGCGCCTCAGGATAGTGACACTGCTCAAAGGCTATTAGGTTCCTAAGAACACATTCTGTTGTGTGGTCCACTTTCAACTGGGGGATTTGAAACCTTGCTTTGAACAACTTGCAACGTGGCAAACAACCCAAGCAAAGAAACCAGCTGAAGAATCTCTTCTTCTCAAACTTTATGTCAAGTAAGCATCTATTATGAACCTTCTCAAAGCTTATCCCAGCCTCATTCAACTTTGTGGCAGTCCTTAGCAGACACTCCTCTTGAGAATGTTTTGCCTGGCTTCTCAGTTCCTTAGGGAGATAGGAATTTCTAATTAGGTCAGTGAAATGTAGTATGTTCTTGTTCTCCCACTTGCATGGCTCAAACATGCTTTTTTGTTGATGAGGATAATAAGATATAAAGTAGTTATGGGCAAGCTCAATGAATCTGGTGGGTTTTTTGACACTGCTTGGGACAGTATCATATTCATGTAGTTTTTCCAACACTGTCATTGGAATCTGATTCTCAAGCAGCATCAAGTCACGTTGGATGCTTTTGCTAACACATCTTTGAGTTACTAGATAGTCATTCTTATGTTTCTCCCTTTCTGCTTCTCGCAGAATCAGCTCCATGATGAACACTGCATCCAACCGTATCATGTGCACAAATTGCTCCTTGCTGATGTTGGAGAATTTCTTTTGGTAACAACGGCGTAAGTGTTGCTCTTCATGTTCAAGGAAGGATGTGTAGTGCATTAAATCATTCTTGTTCACTAGGCGTGCCTGAAAGGAAGAATAGTATATGTGTTTCTGCTCTTGCATTTCCTTTAGTTCTTGTTTGTTGTGGTGCATAGGGCCAATTGAGATCAATTGAGGAGTGTAGGAAACCTCTTTCACCTTCAATAAAGTAGTAGGCACCTTGTAGATACACCATTCAGACAATAGGGAATGCTCATGAATTTGTTCTGGGTCTGGGATGCTGTCAACTATGTGTTCATAATGGTGTGTTGGATGTTGAAGAGCAGGCCACACAAGTTCTATTTCTCTGTCCCTGTTGACCAACCACATCAACCATCAGACAAATGAATCACTTGTGAGTTTTACAAATTAGGAGCCAACAATTTATTGCAATTTTATAGTATATTATAAAAGACAGAAAAGTCCCACATTCCCTAGTTTTGTCTTTGAATATTAATTTTTATATAACAAGTATTTAATTAGCTAGCAACACAGTGGCGAGGCTAATTGCCTACGTGTTTGATTGTATAATTCGTTTTTATCGTGATTTTGGCAACCAGCGACTATGCAATTTTGTTATTTTCATCTTCTGAAAGTAGTTTTCATTTTCAAGATATGCTTAGATTTTCGTTTAATTATTAACTTTTAGTTTTTATAAATGATGAGATTAATTTTTAAAAATGTATTATATATATATATATGATATATGTGGTTTTTATTAAAATATGTTTTATTAATAATTGAGAGAAAGAAAAGAGAATCATAGTTAAATATTTTTATCGAAGGATTATATGCAAGTTAAGTTTTAAAAAGAAAAGTTTATGATGGTTTTTCTTTTTATGATTCTTAATTTTGTTTTCTATGTGTACACTTTAAAGAATGGAAAAGAGAATTTAAATTCATGGGAGATAACCTCTAAGATCAATGTCTTATGTATAGTGCTCATCAAGGTAAATGAGGGAGAGTTAAGTGATGATAATGATCAATGAAAAAGGAGATCATGCAAGCCACTCCTTCCATTCCAACGGATAATCCTGAATGACTGGTACTTTGAAAGAATAGTATTATAAGATCAACTTCATAATCTAAATACAAAAACAATTATACTTGAAACTTTTCATCAATAATTCATTGAAGATGGAAACATTATTGACAAAAATTTTAAGGTAAAAATTCTTTGAAATGAGATATTCTCTCAAAATACGAGATAAGAGATTTAGACAAAAAATTTCAAAAAATAAGTCAAAATATTTTATCTCCTAAATGATGTCAATGATCTCAATTTAAAAAACACCTACATAGCTCCTTTGCCATCATAAATTTAGTTAAAACTTAACTAAATGACTATACCTTCTCAAAAGGATTTCTCAAGTCCAATTCATCAAATCACTCTAGAAACTATTGACAAATTTTAATAGCTAACCTAGTATCTACAATTGATTTGGACATATTCTGTTTTAATTTTTACAGGAAGTAAAAAAAGAAATGGTAATAAAACTATATGTGATTACATTTTAGAAAGAAATTGAAAGAAAAAAATAAAAACACTATTTTCTACATTTTCTACCTTCTGTTTATTGAAGTAACCACAGTTGAGCCGTATTCTTTTTTGAAGCTAACAAGATCCTGTTGTTGTTCAATGAGTTCACCAACACGTTGGTCAATTTTTGAATCTCTACTTTTTGCTTCCAACATCATGTTTTGAGCCTCAAGAACAGTCTTCACAACTTCGTGTTTAACACCTAGTTTATGAAATCTCTCCACTTCCTCCTTCATGGTGGGTTCAGTTCTTCCAATGGCAGAACCACAAAGGTCTTGCTTTGAATTGTTGTTTAGTTGTGACTCTTCAAGTTTCCATGAATTGCTGCCAAACTCCATTGTGGTCTCTGCTTAGCAAATTAAAGTTTTGCTTTTGTTTCTCTACTCTTCAAAAACCACTCCACCATACATTTTAAATTGAATATTGGTCCCGTACTTCAAATTAATTTAGAAAATCACAAAAATAAATATTTTTTAGACTACATGTTTGAGTACTATTATATCGTCCTGTAATCTTCTTGATCTTCCTAATTATTTATCTTATAAAGAATATATCATATGAAAAAGTAAAACATATTTAATGTTTTGAAAATAGAAAATATTTTTTTATATTTTTTTTTTACAATAAAGATAATGAAAATTGAAACTAAGTCTTCATATAATAAGTTTTCACACTACTAAATTCACTATAATGATTCATATAAAATAATACATTTAATATATACTTATAGTGTAAAAAGGTATAGTGACATTAATAAGGTGATTTATTCCCATAATGCTAAAAAATAATTCTTGATAAACAGAAGTCACATTTTATGAGTACAAACTAGTCTTTCTCTATTTGGTTGATAGTTTTGTGCATGCATAAATTATATTTATGATAAAATAAAAAGAAGAATTATTCATAGAGTATGCATTGGCTATATATTTTGTAAGTTAAATTATATTTTTAGTTTCTCTATTTTCATTTATTCGCAATTTTGGTTCTTATATTTTAAAATAGAGATATTTAGTTCTTCTAATTTTAAAATATGAAATTTTAATTATCTCGTCAAATTAATATCTATTAATCGTTAAATTTCAATGCTATTCATAGTTAAATAATGTAACATTTAATGAAATGATATTAGAGATCAAACAACTAAAAAAATACATACAAATAATATTTATTAATAAAATAAATATCAATCATTCATTAAAATAAATACAAACAAAAATATTTTGTGTATGTTATTATATAAATTTTTATTCTAAACTGTTGCATTATTAAATATCACATCACTTAAATAGTAACATTTATCAAACAACATTAAAATTTAATAATTAACAAATATTAAATTTACTGTAAAACTAAATTTCAATATTTTTAAATATAATAAGTCTAAATATCTCTATTTTAAGTAGAAAGACCAAAATTATAGATAGATAAAAATAGAGATAAAAAAATATAATTTAATATTTTTCATATTTTCATTCAAATATAAATAACAATACAATTTAAGATATATATATATATATATATCTTAAAAGTGATCGATAACAAGTACCTTTTCAATGGTCTCGTTAATTTTAGTGTTTTAGATTGATAGGTATATAAAATAAACTTTATTTTTTAAATCATAACTATTTAAAAATAAAATTCTTGTTACGAAATGAAAGTGAAAGAACAATAAAATGAAAGTGACATATACATAAAATAAACTTTATTGATAGGTTGTGATCTGTGGAACATGTGTAATGTATCAAAAAGGTGATTCCTTATCCTGATTCCTTATATTGTACAATACAATACATAATCGAAAATAAGAAAAAAATATTGATTTTTTAAGCAGGCGTTGATAAATTAATTATCCACTCAGGTTCTATATAATCAATGTAAAAAAAAAAAAAAAAAAAAAAAAAAAAAAAAGACATGGCTGCAATTTTGAAACTAAATACAACTTTTTATATCTATTATTGTTTAATTAATGTATAAGATAATATTTTACATCGGTTTAACTTTTAATTGATGTAAAAAGTAATTTTTATTATGTTAAACAAACAATCAATGTAAAAAATTCAAAATTATAACTAGGGCTTTTTTTTTTTTTTTTTTCCTTTAGAGAAAAACTTTCTTTCCCGTGAAGCACCACACTTTAATCTCCTAAAAACTACCATCAATCATTGGTACTTTTCCACTCAACCTCTTGGGACGTTATAGCTGTCATTGTTTTATTGTTTTGGCCATTTCCTTCCATAAAATAATAGCTCTATATATCAAGGAAAACGTCTTCGTCCTCTTTTCTCTCCTTTTGAGTTTCGTTTCTCTTTTACCAATTTTGTCGTACCATTATTTCTGTGACATTAAAATGATTAGATAAGTACATGGGGTGACTTTGTGTAACATGTGGGGTGCAATATTACAGCAAAGACATTTTACTTTGATTAAAATCAACATTTTATATAGATTAAATTTTAACTCATTGAATTTTGAAACTAACAGTCAAGGTTGACTCTCTGAGTTTCTCGTGATGTCTTGAGCGAATCATAAAATGAAGCCCTCATCAATTATTTGAATACTGTTTATTGTTTCAATTATCATATTTAAATGTATAAAGAACAAACAATCAAACACTCATTTGCTGAAAAAAATTTCGTATGAGACCAAGAATTTTTTTAATGACAATTGTTTGGTGAAAAAAAAATTAATAATAACACATCACAAAGAAGTTTGTGATAACAAAAAAGTGAAGGTTTTGCAACTTAATTTTGAGATTTAAGCAAAATAGGAGAGATTGCATTTTAGAGAATAAAAAGAGAGTCAAAGAAATTAAATATAAAGTAAAAAATAGAAAGTTTTAGACAAGTTTTATTTATGATTTTATGTTAATAAAGGTTGATGTTGAAATAAAAAAAAAATGGAAAAAAAATCGATATATATCACACTTGCCCCTTTATATTTAACATTACTAATTGATTTTTTTAAAATTATGAGTAGATTTTTGTTGAAAAATGAAAAATCATCGATCAATTAATTAGTTGTTTGTAAATAACTTATTTCGTATAATAATATTTTATATATAATTCGATGATGTATTTTTTTTCTTACTTTTATGTTATATATACTAAATAATAATTTTTCGTGCTCCACCAAGATTAAATAAAATTTGCCAAAAAATTGACTTGAAGTATAGTACATTCATTTCTTATTACGAGATCAAAAATTAAGACAAAATTTAGATACAATTCGTTGTAGTTAGTGTTATTCTTTAATTAGAATTTAAATTTTAGTTAATTAGGTATTTACTAGAGACGGATCTATATACATTATAATATATGTGTGTGTTGTGTTATATATATATATATATATATACATGTGTGTGTGAAATTGAATAAGAGAGTGGTACACCGCGTGCATTCACTCTTCATCACTTTTTTTTTTCTCTGTAAACCTTCTCCCTCTCCTTTGTTACTGAATCTACTTTTTGTCTTTTGCAGAGTGGGGTGAACTCTTTGTTACTCATTTGTACACTGTTGCAGCTCATCAGGTATGAATTAATGTTTCGTTAACATCTTTTTGCTTCGCATTGCTATTGTGGCTATCTATTCTATTCGATTTTTTGGTTGTTCTATTTGTATAGGTCATTGGCCTTTTCTTTTGGGTTGTTCTATGAAGCAGAACGGCCCGTTCTCCAAGCAGAATGGCCCGTTCTCCATTCAAGACGGCCCGTTCTCCTTGCAGAACGGGCTGTTTGAATGGAGAACGGGCCGTACTGCTTGGAGAACGGATCGTTCTACAAGCAGAACGACCCTTTCTGCTTGCACTCGTTATGTTTTTTTTTACTACTTTTTTACGTCGGACCTTGGTAATGTCTGACGTAAATTTACGTCGATTTTACACGGCCGACGTAGATTTATGTCTCCCGCATTAACGTCGGTATTTTTTTCGACGTAAAAAGCTCAAAATAACCGACGTGAAATACCTCTTTTGTACTAGTGCAATTTTCTAGGATTCTTGATAGGTTTGACAACTTGGATTATGAAATAGCAACAATCAAGACCCAGCTAGACATTGAAGATGACTCGAAGTGAAGCTCTAGTTTTAAGTCTTTAGGCTTTTAGATGTTTATGTTCTGTTTTCTAATTCTTTTTTTGAATTCTGGTTTTAATTCTATTTCAATTGGGTTGTAAGATTTCAATACTTGAACAATTATCTGGTTTAATTTCAATTTGGTTGTAGTTGGTAAATTCTGGTACAATTTGATGGTTTTTAATTTCAATTTGGTATTGTATTAATTCTCATGATTGAATGTTTTAAATTTGTATGCATATTGATAATTTTTTATTTTATATAGTTGTGATATATGGTACTAACATAAGTAATCTAAATCATTGTTTGTGACTGATTGAATGTTAAATTTGTGAATCATTGATTTGAAAAATTGGTACTGCACATGGTTTTAGTTTTTGAATACATATAAGTGTGATTGAATTAAATATATATACGAGTTGTTGTACACGGTTTCACACATTGTATACATGTATGTGTGTTTGGAAAAATGAAATGTTGGACTAAATGTAAATATTTTCATTACATTGAAAATATGTGTTATGAATGCTTGAAATCTTGTACATTCTATATGTCTACACATTGTTATAGTGGGCTAAAAATTTTCATTACATTATGACTTGCATATTTTAGATATTGCAATTTTTAACATCTCTGCTTGGACATAGAATCAGTATATTGTATATGTTTTTTATGATGTTCAAAGGAGGAGAAAAGTTAAGTTTGTTTTGTAGGCCTTATGAAAAACAAAGGCAAAACAATAACAACAAAGCAAGTGAACTACATATTAAAGACTCTATGATGATCTTCTCAAAGGCAAAACAATGTTGGGTTTTGTCATCATCAAAAAGGGAGAGATTGTTGAGATTCACATCTTGGGAAGTTGGTGAATCAATTTATGAAACTTTTGATGATTACAAAAAGGTAAGCATAGTGTATAAAATGAGATGTACTATAATAGTGTAGTTTATGTGTAGGTTATAGCTTGTGTTGCTTTGTGTTTATCTTTATGCATGTTTATATGTTTGTGCTTTGTACAAGTAGTTAATTTTTATCCTAATTGACTTGAAAGTAGTATGATGATGATGGAATATAACTTGAGAAGGTAAACTATCCTTAGCCTCGACTCCTAAGCGATGTGATACTTTTTAGGCATACCAAAACACATACAATAATCAATTATTTGCTTTGTTTTTCAGTAAATTGAAAAACATTATTGAAATAATTGATTATTTGTAGAAATAATCGATTATCCTAAAAAACACTCTTTAGAATAATCAATTATCTTGTGAAATAATCAAATACTCTATTCTTGAGTGATTTTCAGA